AAACATAAGAAGCCATATATTTGATTCCACTTATAGAAAATTATCAGAAAAGACAAATCTATAGAGACATGAAGTAGATTAGTGGTTGCATAGAACTGGTAGATATGTAGGTGACAGGGATTAACAATTAATGACAAAAGGAATTATATTGAGGTAATGAAAATGTTCTAAAACTGATAGTGACAGCTGCATAACTTGGTAACTTTTAAAAAAATGGTTGAATCACATACCTGAAGTGAGTGAATTAGAAATACATAAAATATGCCTCAAGAAAGCTATAAGAAAAAAAAAAAAAAAACCTCAACAGCAACAGTTAGTAGTAAACAAGTACAAAAGTAGGAATTACAGTTCCACTATTATAATTAACTAGCTGTGCGGCCTTAAGCATGTACTTTCATCTCTTACAAAATGAAGAGGATAGAAAATTTGACATCAAAGGTTCTTTTAGTTGAAAAATTTTGTGAGTCTAGATTTCCATGTGCCATGAAACAGTGATAGCAGCACCATTCTTACATTGAGTGTAGCTTCCTTATGGCACCTACGCCTTTTAATGCTATATGTTAGTTTAATATAATCCTTCTTTATCTTGGGTCTAGTTCTACAACTTTAAAAAATGGCTTACTTACCCTTATCTCTACTTTGACATAGAGTGTGGTTTTCTCAGAAGTATTTCTGATTGCAACCTGGCAAGTATATTCTGTCTCCAAACAGAATTCCAAGGTGGTGGTGGTGGTGGTGGTGGGTGAATGAAACTGGTCTAAAATAACATAGAAGTACTTACAACTTCTACTTTGGGTGAAGTCTTTCTATTAAGTAGAGCTTTTATCTAACTATAACATGATCTGGACCAGACCTTTCTAATTTGTTGATAAGAATGTCAGGTTGGATGAAATCAAAAGCCTTTTTAGAGTCTATATAGATAGTATCTATTTCTTTTTCCTTATCATCTTGGACTGCCACTCTGTCATAGGGGGGAAATTAAATTGGTCTGACACAATTTGCTCTTTACAAAATCCTGTTCTTTATTTCCTTATGCTCTTGAACAAGTCCAGTGATTGTTCACTTTCACTAGTAAAGAAAGTTGAGTGTTAATTGTCTCAGTCTTTTTTCTATTTCTTCTACTCATCTCCAGGTATATTTGCAGTGATAAATCCAAAGGAAAGCATATAGTTCAATCTGAGAATTGAACAGGGAAATGCTCAGAAACAGGGCTATCAAACCTGGACAACTTATACAACTGAATAGAAAAGTTCATCTGTGCCACCCCAAAATTTGTAGTTTTTTCTGTAAATGATATCATATAAATTATAGAGTAGATTTCATAAAAGAATCCTCACTTACTGGGACTGGAATCCATATAAGTTCTTTTCACATGAATTATGAAATATTGTATTTACATACTGAGCCAAAGTTGGAAATCTAAAGGACAGAAGAGTTTACTGTTCATTTCCAGTTATTTAAGCCACCTAATCTGCATGCTACAACACCCAATTTTTCCTAACAAGAAGGGGCATGCAAGGATGCTTGCTATTATTGGCACTCAAGATTTAACACTTGAACCAATTCCAAGAACAGGATAGACAGGAAGAACTTGGGATAAAGAAACACATTCATTCCACGTAATGTGAAACACTAATAAAAGGTATACAGAAGTTTACAACAGCCCAAAAAGGCTGCATTGCCAAAGTGCTAAAGTATATATAAACTTTTCTTCTGACATTTAAACAAAGTACATAGTAAAGCCAGAAAAACTGAGTAGTAGATAGAAGTCAGAAATGGGAAAAATCATGACAGTTGTCTTTTGTTTATATGGAATGGAAATAGTAACCGCCTATATAAATTTTACTAGGCAAGAGTCTATTATGCATATAATGGTATTAGTGAAAAATCAGAGAATGAGTTCATGCCATACTGTAGCTGAGGAATATGAAATCAATCTCCCTCAGTATTTTCCTCTCATTTGTGAAAATGAATGAGATAGCACTAGTTAGAGCTCTGAGAGGATAGTACAAGAAGTAGAAGAATTAGTCAAAAATTAAGATTTATAATGATTTTCTTTTCTTCTTCTTCTGATTTTCTTTTCTTCTTCTTCTTTTTTTTTTTTTTTTTTTTTTT